GGATGGTTGCTTATAGTGGAGAATCTTACACTGCTCCGTAAAGTGCGTTTAAAGCATACCATGTACTGAAGAGTAGGCTTTATTGGCAAATTAACTCCGCTTACGGGGCTTGGCGAAGTGCAGACTCAGATGACGTCACCGTTGACGAGCTTCCAAATATCAAACTGAGTGCACACTGGTATTTCCACGATCTTGATAAACGCAGATGTACAGGCATCCAACTCCGTAGCTACATCTGGGGTATAAAATTGGATACCATCTTTGTCCGTCTCGGGGATATATACATATTAACGTGTAGTATTTCACCCACTGGGGGCATGGTGCGACACTCCTTGAAAATCTCTACATCTACTTCGTCGTAATATGACGTGTGAGTTGGCTTGAAGAGGGCGCCGTCAAAACTAAACAGTTAGGTATCTTTTTGACTTGTTGTAGATCTGCTCCGTTCTCACGCAGATGGAACCATTTAGAGAATTATGTCCTAAGCTATGGGTCTTAGCCTTGAATTTGGTCGCTTCGTGGGTTCTCTGGCTTTTCTTGATCTTACACTTGAACTTACTTTTAGGTACATACCCCGCACTGAACCTAACGTGTGGCTCATGCCCTGCCTGTTTACTAAGATAAAACAGATGCGAAAGATCGTAGCCGTTATATACCAATGCGTATTCACTGTGCTCTGTGTGTTTCCTGATGTCGTCTAGGGATGTGATCATTTTGCATTCCACTGGCTCCTCCTTCTAGTCAAGCTGATAATCTGAAGATACCTTAACAGACATGCTGTAGTTACTGCTTTTCGGCAGCATCTGGTGCAAAATCCTCAGATTATCATTTGCTGTGTAGATGTGGCTGTTCTTCACGATGGCATATAAGGTTGGGATGTTGTGAGTTTTCCTTACGGGTTCGTGCTTATAAAGGAGATTCCCAAACGCATCACATAATCTGACTTGCAAGTTAAAAAAGTCAAACACAACACCTTCGTCATGTCAGCTATTAACGCCCCTTTTGTTTTAACGTCGTCCTCAGTTTTGCCTATGAACTTCTGAACGGCTTCTTCTTGTAGCTTGTTCTTTTCTCCCTTCTTGTCTCCCAAATAAGCGCATCCATATAATCAGTAAGGGTGTTAAATCAACACTCGTTCTTAACATAATGTTCTGCGTTAACGTCCTGTCCTACTGTCGGTCCAGGGGTGTCAGGATACACCTATGATACATACTGACATTCTCTGTGTTTGTTGCATCTTCAACTAGTGGTTTGAAATCGTCGGCTTTGTCTACCCTCTCGGCGTACTTCACTTTCATACAAGCAATGTAACCCTGGCAGATCCGACATCTGCTTAAACTGTCATCTTTGATAATTAGATCCTTGAGCCCGTAGAATGTTTTCCTATCCCCGCGAAGTTTTCAACCAACAGTGGTGCTGCTACATTGGCTGTTAGATCACGCATATAGATCGGAACATATACCTTGCCCCCGCTGTCTCGGAAGGATACTCATATTCCCCGGTGTGATTCAGTCTTCGGCTAGTATAAACGGACATTGATTGAATATGTTCTGGGCGTTCTTGGGTTGGTTCTTCCTGTTGTTATTGTTGTTGTTGTTGTTGTTGTTGTTGTTGTTGTTGTTGTTGTTGTTTTCTTTTGCTTGTGCCATTCTCTGGCCTAGTTGTTCTTGGTCCTTGTGGTTGTCATAGATCTTTTTGTTGTAGTATGTTGAAGTCTTTGTCCGCTTTAGGTTGTTCTCTGTCTGTTTTTGCTGTGGTGAACTTTCCAACTAAATTGTCGCTGTGGTGAATAGGGCGATCTTCCGATCTGGGTATAGATTAATTATGTTTTGAACTTGTGCTCTGGTGGCTTGGGGGATGCATCTTCGGTTGTTGTAAGAAAACATTTGTGCTTCGCGGAATCGCTTTGGACATGTACCAATAACTACCTGTCCATTTTATTGTCAAAGTTTATGTTTTTAGAGATTTTCCGTTTCAGATTTTTGTTTAAACAGTACTATTTGAAAAGGAATTGGTCTAAAGAAAGAAGAAGTATAGTAACATGAGTAAGAAACCTGAGGATCTACAATGGATGAAATCAAAGAACAACTCGCAATGTACAACAGACTGTAATATCACAAGCGCAATACCGACTGTGCATATATGCAGAAGAAACGGGAATCTGCACAACGACACGACCAGAAACAAAAAAATCAAGGAGTATGAGGAAGCTAACAGTATCACACCCAGGCCCGATCTTGGTTGATGATGAGTTCTTATCAGAAACTATAAATGCCAAAAAGCATTTGAAAGCCATGCGTGGCGCACCCAAATGTCATATGAGTAACTTCGAGATCATGAAGGCTTTTTTCGAATAATGATTCAGTTTAAGTAGTAAATGAAAACTTTCGTTTGTTTTGTATATGAATGAGAAACAAAAGTTGTTAATGATGTGTAGTTTGATGGCACGAGGTTTAGCTTAAAAAGCCGCACTTTACAAGAACCGCGAGAGAAAGATAAAACCATCACAATTTCTGAAATTAACGAGTTGCTTAGGAAGAATGTTGATCAGAAGGCGTAAGCCCGTGGGTTCCAATAGTTTTGTCGCCCGAAATCCGCATACGAGTATCAAATCGACTTGTTCTTTACAAAAGAAATAAATTATCAAAGAATTAGGGTAGGTGATGGTAGGTGTGTGAATGATTGACGTCTTGGATAAGTTTGTGCACGTCGTGGCTATTGGAACGGTACGAAAGAGGAAGACTTAGCCAGTGGGATGATTGAACGCTTACATAAGATGGGCAACAAGCCAAGACTAGCTTATACAGGCGACGAGGGAGCAATGAACAAGGAGGCGATACCATAGTATTTGCAAGAACTAGGGCACATCCCAATTTTAGCCAGATCCATTTGGGCATTCAAAGGCTTGATACAAAAAACTGGTATATTCTGATTTAGTAAGTTGAACGATGTACTTTGAATTTGATGTGCTTTAGTTTTCGTTTGTTTGTATAAAGATTATGGCAATGCTTGTGGTCTTTGTCGTTTTGAAGCCGTTATGTTAAAAATGTCGGATTTATTTGTTGTTGCGCCTTTGCTTGATTGTTGTATTTAGTTTTACCCAAGCACTGGAAGAGATAGAGGTCGTCCAGTGTTTAGCGCTCAGTGTTGCAAGGTACGAGGATTGATGATGTAGTGTTTCTCGTCATGCTAACCGCTCCTGCATGCTAGCGTGGAGTTGCGATAGTGAAACTAGCATCAGTACTGAGGTGCGGAATCCATCCTACTTCTTGCGGCAGCATGGGCCATGGGTTGACATCATCCCATCTCAATAATGCTGACAAGATACATTTAAGGAGTTTGCATAGGGAGAGGAATCGACAACTAGTGCACAGGAGACAGCAGCGGATAGTGCACTCGCACCGGGTTTAGGCATACGTATTCCATCTTGGTTCACTGAGTGAGGGATGGCGCACAGAGTCTATCTTGTCAACAGGCCCGAGTGCACTTAGGCAGCAGCCGGCCATTCGAATCGTGACGATCATCTCAGACGATCATCAGACGATCAAGCTTCTCCGGGTTGTGCTTTAAACCCTGAAAATTATTGATGACTGGGTTCCCTTTACAAGGAAATAAGTAGGGAAGTTAAAGATTGTCGCAAAGCCAAACCCAGTTCTACTTGGTAGTCGTAGACATCGGACCACAGGCCCAAGTCTTTGATGTGCTGAGCAATGCGGACGGCCAGCTGTTCAGGATGCAGCTTGCAAACCTTGCCGCTGGAAGTCTCTTCGGTCCCATTGACGTATATAAGGCTTGGAGAGAAAGCAACTTGGTTTTGAATCCGCCCTTCTTCAGGTCCGGGGGGCTCAGGTGGATATGCCGGATGTAGCTTAACAGGAACAAGAGTTACATCTCGTGGGTGTTCCCTTGCGTACTTCAGCTCCATGTAGGTCTCGTACGTGCCTGTGGTCTTCTCGCCATACGTCGAAGTACACAGAGCCAGCATGATTCTTGCTTGCACAAGGCAAAAATCAGTCGCTACGCCGAAATCCGCTGCAGTGTTTACGAAGAGGTTGCGAATGCCCTTGCGTGTAAGCTGCTCTGAAAGCATCTTCACGTACTCAACATTGTCCTTCAAGGGTCCATGTCGGATTATGGGAAGTATATACGCAAAAAGACTCTAGCATGCCTCGCAAGTTGTCCGATTAAGTTAATTATCGAAGCCCGCTGTGCAACTGCCGAAAAACCTGGGCTTTTACACGGTGGACTGCCTGCTTGTCGAAGCGTGCAGATAGCATGACATACTTCCTTTTACTCACGGAAATCTCCGTCGGGTCGCCGAATTCTGGCTGCAGTGGTGAGCAGTCCAAACTCAACATCTTTATGTCTGTGAAGCGGCCATCAACTTCGCGGCGAACATCAAGGGCTTTGCCATTGAAGGTGACTGCAAACTCAACCTTCTCAACGGGCACGCTGTCGACAAGTTGATGCCCACAATGCCCGCAGCAAGACTGAAGGGATCCCATTGCTTCCTACCTTGTGAATCTTGGGGCGCCTACCACACGTCAGCCATGCAAGTCCGAGAGCCAAACGAGCACTCGGGGTGAGGCACATGCGTTGCAAATGTCAGCCATTTCTGGAGGCATGCAGGCAGAAAGGTGCTTGTCTCATCACGCGGACGGCATGCAAGTCATCGTGCCGCCACTGTGGTTTTGACACGGAATAAGTCTGACGATGGCAACTTTATGGTACTGTGCCGGAACTGGTGCTCCGAGAGCGCGACACTGGCTTTGCAGGGTACGTTCGCCAGATGACCCTTAACCCCAAACTCTGAACCAAATTCTATAAGAACATCATTCCCGGTTTGGGCTAAGGCACTTGAATAGATACGGGTATTGGGAATAAGCGATGTCTCCTAAAACTGCAGTTGATATTTTTGGGTGTGGGTGGTGCCATATACCCAGAACGGGAATGCCCTACCCTAACTGAACATCCCTTGCTCCTTCAAGCAAACGAGCCACCCAGACCAGAGCAGTCAAGCCAGGCCAAGTAGGTGGCCTTCGGAAAGCAGGCGTGTAGAACGGGCCGGAGGTGTAGGGCTTTGGGTGATAGGCTTGTGGCTTTTGGGCGTAGGGGTGTTGGGCTTAAGGGCGTATTTTGGCAGGGTCTAGAGTCTTCAGCTTACTGTTTGAGGTGTGGTGGTCTACGCTTTAGGGATGTTTAGGGTTTGGGGCTCTAGATGGACTCGTTTAGCATCCTCCAACCCCATAGGGAATGTCAACGGCCTAGCTCTTGGGTAGGGTTTCGGAAAAACAGGTGGTGATGGTTTAGGCGAAACTCTTGGATCAAGTAGCTCGTGCTCCACTATCCTCAAGGCAGGTCCCGAACACGCAAGGTTTCGGGTGCGTGGGCTCGAGCCTTGAACATAGGAAGGTGGAAATAAGTGATGTTAGAGTCTTGAATTCCACGACTAAAATTGCCAGACCCTACCCAGGGGTCTGCATTGGGGGCTCGTAAACCCCAAACCGAAAAACAACCACAAATCCTAAGGGCTTAGTTTCAACATAGACTCGAACGCCCCGAACCCTCAAAATCAACGTAGCCTCAAACCTTAAAGCCTGAGAAGATGAATTCCAAAACCGTAAACCTGCAGCCTCAAACCCGAAACCCCTACCCTGGAATCCGAAGCCCACATACTTACCTTTGGTTAATAGGGAATGGAGGAATGGAGTACAACTATAACTACAAATTACTACCATTCCTCCATTCCCTACTAACCAAAGGTAAGCATACTTTCTCCGGATTCGGCCTGGTGTGGCACCTTGACTCGACGTTTAGGGTTTAGGGTTTAGGATGCATTGTCTAGTGTTTATTAATGGTTCAACATGTACATAATCGGCCACATACATGTACGTGTAAACGACAAGCAGATTTGTCCACAATGGAAACATGCTGGAAGGCGGAGGCATACTGGTTTAAGTGTTAAAATCGTCCCAATACCTTTACCTTCACCAGATCTCTGTGTTCGGGGCTTCCCCGGCTCTTTGTAGCAAGAGTCTGTGATTTCAGCTCGATTCCATCTCGCTCTTGGTCCTTCCGGACTTACATCAAACAACGCTCGTCCAGTGTGCACAGGTTTCGACGAGCCATAGAAAACAAAGCCTGATCTGCTTTCGACGAGCTACCACAGCATGCCGTTCCAATCACCACATGTTTCGACGCGATCACAATCGTGCTCAGATCAAAATTGGGGACGGCGTCCCACGGTCACTTACAGATCTAAAGCATAGCCTGCCACGCCTTACCCCCCAAAAAAGCTAAACCCCCCGAAGATCCGTCAACCCCAAACCCTGAGCTAGTCATGCGGTTGATGATATAAATCCTGCATTACCCATAATAAGGATTGTACCATAATTCCGATGGTTTAGGGTCCTTAAGGTAATGCAGGATTTGTATGATCAACAGTAGGGCCTAGAGAACCCTTACAATACCACTTCTCAGCCTCCAGTCCCAAAAGCCCAAGCTCTGTAAGGGAAGCTGCAGCCGGGTTGCAAGGCGCACCCCGGGCACGTGTGCCAGGAGGAAGTGCTCCAAGAAGACTAAGTTCGCCTGAATTCGGGGTCGTGGTTTTTGTTTTTGAGGTCTTGGGGTGTGGGTTTCAGGGTTCCGAAATTCCTTGGAGGATTGCTTTTAGGGCTCCCTTATGAAGGGGCTGCTTCAAAGGGGGAATCTTCAAACAAAAATCCCGCCTTGATGTAGGCCTTCGCAGCGAGGAACCAGGGGCCTCCCCGGTCGTAAGCCACGAGCATCATCTCCTTTAGGGCTACGGTAACCTAGGGTTCCTTTAAAGGGATCCTTAAAGGGTTCAAAAAGGGATCTATAGGGGTACTATAGTATATAGCGGCTACGGTAACCTTCATAATTGGAATAGGTTTTGGGGGTATATGATACTAGTCACTATAGTCATCATACATCATCTCCTTAGGCGCTACGGCAACATAGGGGCCTGAATCATTACAAAAAAGGCTTTGGGGGAATATTATATAGCCTATAGCATACATCATCTCCTTAAGGGCTACGATTTTGCATTTCTTTGGTCAAGTCAGCCACCGTACCACGGTACGCTCGTCGCCCTCGAACCCGGAGCCCGAACATGAGAAGCCCCGACCATAACTGTTGGGGTTTAGGGTATATAAACAATTGAATACACAAAACAGCTCAAAGATAAATACATGCATGAATACATGTATATATGTATATATAGATACAAGTATATCTACATCTACATGTTTATCTACACACATATGTACATACATGCATACATGTGAAAGATACAACCCTCATAAAATCCTCTTGGTTTCGAGTTCGGATCCCTAACACATCGAACCTTGTGGAACCTTTATTGAAAGAGCCCGCTATTAGATAGCCTAGTGGAACCATGCAATCCCACGCCCCAAACCTTAGCCCAAACCGCCGGGGCCTTAGTAATTTCCTATACTATTTTGGGGCTCTTAAAGGTAATGATATAGTACAATGGGCCCCAGAAACCTGTTCCAATGATGAAGGCCCGTACATTAACACCCGAGCGGCAGTGGCAAAGATGCTGGCGAAGGTCAGAAAGCTCGGCTCTGTGTACGCAAGGTACCTCTAAGGCTTGAGGCTCAGGAGGGTCTTCCCAAGGTTCAGTCAGGGTTTAATATAGGCGCCGTAATAATTGGAATTGGGTTTTGGGGTTCCTTTAAAGGGGTTACGAAAACGGATCTGTAAGGGTACTACACTATCATATAGGGGCCTAAATGTAGTAATTCGAATAGGGTTTTGGGGCCCATTAAGCTATAATTATAATACAGAACCCCGACTTTTGCCTTCGAGGGTCGAAAGGACTCAAGAGTCAGTACTCGGGATTGGGATATGTAGGTTAAGACTTTGGGGAGTATATGATTCCTAGGTACTTGGACCCTTGGGGTTCAGTCAGGGCTTAGTGATCAGGGTTTTGGGTTTCGGGCTTCTTAAGGGCCCACAACATGGTTTCCCCGCAACATGATCCCAAAGCCTACATCCTGTGAAACGAAGTCCCGCAACCGAAATGACCAAACTTTCTGGTTTAGGTCGGGCGGATTTCTGGTCTCAGCCCAACCTCGCTTGACCCAAAGTCGCTCGAGGACTCGTCCTTTGACCCTAAATCTTGAACCAGATAAAAAGTAATATAATGCTAAGAACATAATACTAATTTGAATAGTATTAGCCCGTTTGGGGATGGGAGGGCATTCCGACTTAGAGGAAAGGATCGCGAAGGTCTTAGGATGTGCTTGAGAAGGCCAGGCTTGAGAAACTGACATAGACCTACCGAAATCGAGTTCGGTTGGAACCTCGAGCCCAAAAAGTCGCCGAAATTGAAACTAATTACGAAGCAAACAGCAAAGCAGACCACAGGACTGTAAGCACTCTGGCGAAGTTGTGGTGCTTGCACTGTGTAGCGAGTAGCACCATCACAACAGCCTCGATCGCTACGATGACAAGCATCATGGGCATCCACAATGACAGTGCGTGGCAACTGTACAGCATTGACACTGACACTATTCAACCAGAGCAATGACAATAACTAGTAGCTACTGCTAATGAGGAGACTCAACATGTTGACTGCAGCATTGTAGCAGCAACAGCAGCAAGAAGAAGAGCTGTAGTGCTGTTGTTGATATTACGTGTTTGCGAACCCCTCGAGATTCGTCTTGTGCCACTGTTAGCCCCGGCACGATCAACACAATTGCGAGCTTCTTCCGTGCGCCCACAACAGAGCTGAGCTCCCACACTGCTTGCGCAGCTCGTCGTCAGCCACGACGACATAAGAGGCATGTAGGCCGGCCATTGACCTTAGGTGGATCGTGGAAGCCTTGTTGATCCGATATCGGACACCACGATGCCTGATAACAATCTCCGAAGCTTTCAACCAAAATAGTTTAATAGCCCTGCGCAAAGGTTCCAAGAACCAGTAAACCTCGCACATGCAGCTTGACAACCAAGTTTTCGTCGGCGCGCCGAGCGTGATGCACTTGCAACCCACCTGCAGTGGGATGGGTGGTCGGGAAACTCAGGTTCCGAGGCTGTGCCTCTGGGGCTTGTAGCATGTACGTCATTCGCGCATATGACGAGGCTTGCTGCTTGGACGTAGAGTTCGGATCCTAACTTTCTGGGATCCGGACACGGAAATGCTATCAAAGAAGATGCAGCACGAAGGCAGTCTAATGACGAAGGTATACTATAAGTGTGTTGGGACGGATCCATGATCTATATCAGACGTATTCTCCCAAATATGAACTTACATAACTACGATCCTAAACCCAAGTACCTTCTTATGGGCCCCATGGGTCCTTTGGGCACTTAGAGCTAAGTATAGGAGCCCTTACAGGGAACCCTTATACGTTATGGTGGTGGATGTGCTTGCAACGGCTCAGGCTTTCAGGAATTGGGCGTCCACGATTTTGGCGATTTGGGATGGCCTGTGTGGTCAAGGTTTGCGTTTTCAGATGAAGCCCGGGCTTGACGAGAACGGATATCTTTAGCAGAGATCGAGACTGAAAACCAAGTGGAAACCAAGCTCTCGATGTTAATCTTCCTGTTGGATGCATTGTCACGGTTAACACTTTTGCTTCTGGCCAATGACAATTTGAAGCTCTTGCTGGGCGGGATGTCTTTCTGGCGTTCTGCATGGTTGCTGGCCGTGAGAAAATACGGACAAGGAAGCAAACCACCTTCCCAACAAGAACAGATGTGCAAGTGGTTTGAGTTGAGGGTTCGGGCTTTGTGGGCTTATGTCTGGGAGGCATCCCAAATTTCGACCGGCCCTCATCGTTCTCCGAATCCCGGTTTTAAGCATCCTCAACTCGAAACCCTTAACCCTCGTCAGCCCCGACCGCCCTTAAAGACCTTAATCCCTAAACCCCACAACCCCTAAAACCCTAAGACCCAGGAAGGCCCCACGATACCCGAGGCCGCCCTAAACCCGAAACCCCTAAACCCTGAACCCTAAAACCTCAACCCCTAAACCCCTAAGACCCTAAACCCCTCAACCCTGAACCCTGAACCCTGAACCCCTAAACCCCTAAACCCCTAAACCCCCAAGACCCTAAGACCCCTAAACACCACTAGGACTCCCACGCTTGCGTGCCTCCTGCGCCACGGGCTGAAACGGAGTGAAGCGCTCAAAGCACCAATCGGCCCAGATCTCGTCTGACATCACCTCAACGACTAAAGGGCTCCTTTAAAGGGCGGCTTAAAATGGGGTTCCTTGAAAGGGTTCCTTAAAGGGATTTCTGAAAAGGGAACGATTAAAGGGCAACGAAAGGTCATAGTAGTAGTAGTAGTAGTAGTAGTAGTAGTAGTAGTAGTAGTAGTAGTAGTAGTAGTAGTAGGGGCTGCTTTAAAGGCCTGCTTTAAATGGAGGGGATCCTAAAGAGGGTTCTTACAAGGTCTCTTGAAAGGGTTCTTTAAAGGGCTGCTTTAAAGGGTTCCTTGAAAGGGTGCCTTAAAGGGGTTCCTGAAAAGGGTCCTTAAAAGGGCTCTTGAAAGGAATGGTTCCTAAAAGGGTTGCCCCCAACCTCCTAACCCTACTGAAATCCTAAACCCTACTCGCAAACCCTTCGAATCTCATCATGGGGAACATATTCAACTTGGCTTCGACTTCGAACCGTTTGCAAAGTCGCTGTCAACTCTGAGGAAAGGCTCTTGCTTAGAAAAGTGTTGGTCAATGATGAAAGTAAAGTTTTGGGAGTACATGTTGGTCTAGCTGTACAGGGTCTGTAAGGGGATGCTGCTACTACAACGACGACGGCTACTGCTACAGGCTCTTCAGGCTTCTGCATGCTCCTTACGAATAGAAAATTGCTGCCCGAGTTGCCACGATTCCCCTCTTCTGACAGATCCGCGCAAGATCGAGCCTCGCTGCTTTGGTTTCAGAATTTGAACACATAGGCTCAGGGAAGGCGCTTACTTGCGTTCTAGGTTCAGGGTTGGCGCCGTGGCACCGGGTTGACAATCCAAACCCTGCCCACAGCTGGAAAGACTACTCCGAGTGTTACAAAACATGTGTCGGATGAGAAACAACTCCTCACGCTTCCACACGCGGCCAATCGGGTTGTGCGGATTGCAGAGGATGAGGATCTTGATGTTCTTGGTGTCCAGCAAGGCAGACAAGCTTCCCTGACGGAGGCAATCCGGGGCATTGGGCCGTAAGTGTTTAGGGTGAAGCATAGGGTGTAATTATGGGTTCAGGCTACTTATTAGGGCATTAGGGTTCAGTCATGAGGTTGGCTACTTTGTACCCAACCCTAAACCTCAAGAGCGGTAGATCGCAGGTGAAAATCCATGAAACGAACAAAACGGCCCTTAGCCTTGACGTCCATGTCGTACTGGCCGGACTTGTTTTGCTGAAGGTGATATCGTATCAAGGTGCGACCGCAGGCAAGGACGATGTTCTGGAGCGGAGCATAAAGTGGAACCATCAACCTGAGACGAGAGCGAGAACTGTAAGACCAGAAGTACGGTCAAACGTCGGCTCATGGTATAGCCATGGTGATATCCAGTGGTGATGAAGATCAAAATCATCATCATGGTGGTGATGATGGTGATGGTGATGACGAAAACCCTCAAGTACGGTGCTTAAACACCTAATTAAAGCCTTGGATTCTGTATGGGTAAGACTATTTTCCGTAGGATCTGTGAGATAGTCTTTCTTACAGGGAGTGCCTTCTGCATTAACCAGGGCTGTTACTAGAAGGAACATGATAATGATGGTAAAATCAGAGTCAACATTGTCTTGTACATCTTCACCTTCATCATCTCCATCTCCATGTTCACCATCACCACCAATATCATCACCCTCATCACCATCAGCAGCGGCTCAGCCAAGACACGCTATCTGGTCCCCTGGGTTTGTCATTGCTCGGATGATGTTGGCAGCGCTGGTCACGACGCTGGCCGAGAAGGCGAAATGCTCGGGCGGCGGCTTGTAACTCCAACCCTGGTGCTCTTGGGGTTGCCGGAAGGCTCGTACATGGGTTTTATACGGATTCTATATGGAGTTGAGGGTTTAAAAGCTATATGGTTTAGTTTAGGGTTCATGGAGTCAAGGGCTTTAATGGTTAAGGAGCAAAGCCACATGATCCCAAACCCCCTTGGCTCTCATGCAGCGGTCTGGGACCAGGAGTTTACTGGTCATAAAACCACAAACACACGAGGGAGCCATAACGAATATCAATCAATCTACTACGAAACAAAGGATCTCGGATTAGCAAGACTGCAACCGGCACTTGCAATTTTGTGTGACTTGCGAGCCTGCTGCTCCACCAGCCATCTTCCAGCTGACTCCCAGATGGCGGTCGGTTGCAAAGTGTAGCCTCCCAGCTTCTGGCTTAGGAATTACGACGAGATCTTTGGGCAGGTCTTCTAGTCTAGGTTTAAGGATATAAGAGGATTGTGCAAAAATTAATACTACGGAACCCGCAGGACTAATTTTCAGCATAATCCAGGCTTTCATAACATACAGGGTTCAGGGTTTAAGGTTGAGGAAGGGGATACATGAACTTAAGCCTTTCAGTCTAGTGGGGGAATGCATGCCGAGATCGCGCAGCAGCAGCCCTAAACTAAAAAAACTCACAAGACATTCCCTACAATTCTCGTAAATGATAAAGCGAATATAGAGGCCTTAATAACTAGAACAGGTCTTGGGGGGGATATTCTGCTATAGCCATAAGAAGGAGCTCCCAAACTAGACTTAGGCATTATTGATGCCCCTGTAGTAGTTTCTCGCTAGTTTCTGACAGCCCTGAAGCCGAACCCCTCAACCCAAACCCCTGAAGCCTCATCCGCAAGCCCTAAACATGCCTCCTAGACCTAAGAGTAACCTAGGAATGAAAAGGGTGCCCTTTTTGGTTCGAAGGGGGTTATAAGGGAACCTGAACCCTGAAAAAGGGAATAAGGGCTTACTCTGGGTCCTAGCCTCGTCACCTCATGAGCCCGACAACCCGACCCAATGCCAGGTTTTAACGATGTGAACTTAGCCAATCCACGGATTGCAGGGTATTTGGGTTTAGGGTTTAGGGCTGGGGGGCTGAAACCATGGTACACCCCAAAACTGCACACTATTTCTACACAAATTACTCGCTGCTTTTGCCTACGCAGCTCACAACTGCTGGAAACCGTTGCGGAACCCTGAAAGTAGCCCGTCTGGGAACCCTGAAACGGAAACCGTAAACGGAACCCGTGAAGTAACCCGCTATCCCTGAAGGTAAGTACTTAGGCGGATCCTGTTCCGGGGAGGTGTCTGTTCCGGTTATGAGTGGGAACACCGTGTCGGGAGGTGTCTTGATTTCATGGGTTTCCATTCAGGCATATATATATATACACATACATCGAAGAACACAGAAGAGAAGAGAGCGTTACATTATAGCAATAACTGTGTAATGACGATCAGCTACAAAATGAGCATATCGAGAGCAAATCGCTGCTGCCAGAGGGGCCGAACGTCTTCTCGGCCGCGCGACGCACGATGGTTTCCCTAATCTCCTGTTCCAGACTTTTTTGGAGTGCTGAATAATGCAGGGTGTCCCTCCTAGCAGAACAGACCGGGTACCCTTATAACCTGGCCCAGGAATCCCTTAAAGAAGGTACCCCGATCTATCTGTCCAGTGCTTCTTGGGCTATGAACCCGCCGTTACTGTATGGTAAGCTTCCCTCAAAGGCGGTTTGCAATCGTGCGGTTTGCCTACGGTCTTCTTTAGCTGTAACGCCTCCTTGCCTTTACTGCAGTTCGAAGAGCATCTGGCAAGTTTTTGTCGACGGTCGAAGGTGGGCAGAGATGTTCTGCTCTCTATTGGGGAGGAGGCCTTGCCCATGGGAGAAACGGCAAATCGGCGCCGATCTCGGAGTGCCAAGACAGCTCATCTTGGGGCGAGCCGAAGCTGTTCTAAGGCGCTTGATGGCTATGTAAGGGTCTGAGGTACAGCCTTGGCCGTGGCTGTATCAACTTTGGTCCGAAAACTGCATAACAATTGTACTACAGTGCGTCGCCAGCGGTGCCTTCACTTCCCATATCCTACAACTGCTATTGTCGTTGAGCACACGTCCTCAACAAAGGCCAAGCCCTAAGCCGTCAATTCAAGAGTCGGGGACCATAAGGTATATGTAGCAAGAGCCAAACTAAGGTTGCCAGGATGTCGATCATGTCGGGACTATAGTAGGGGAATAAAAATCCTACGTATTCAGACTCCCAAACGCCCACACCCCTAAACCCTCAACCCCAAGTAACCCTTATCGACCCTGCCTCACAGCAAGGGAGCTCCATGTCCGCTACCCACCTCAAGTCGTTCAGGGCTTAGGGTGTTGGTTTGGTTTAAGGTTTAGGGCTCAGGGTATCGGGATCGTCTTCCTGGTTTTAGGGCCTTGGGAGGGGGGGTATGCTTACAAAGAAGTACAGAGGTTTCAAGATCGGGTTCACAAGATCGGGTTCTTTGAGCTCTTAACAGTGGCACCCTTCTCCTACTATGAGACCCCGAAGGAGAAGCGATGAGGGTACGACAAATCTCTGACGGTATGCTCCTCCGTTCCTACCAGCATAAGAGGCTGCTGGGCTTTGGACTACACGGTGACACATCCTGGCATCCAGTAGGGTTGAGTGTTCGGGGTTTGGGGCTGAGGGTTTAAAGTTACGGGTCTGATCACAAAGCGCGAAACTCAAGCACAACAACCAACTACGGGAATTCCGATGCGCTACTCCCAAGCTGGGAACACCTCCACCTCCCCCCGAACCCGCGCACGGCTTCAACCTCTAAGCCCAGTCTCATTGATGTGAACTTTTGAGAAAAGACACGGTCTGCAGATACTCTCGCCATTTAGTCAAGCCTTAGGACCTTGAACACCCTTAGCACCGAAAACCCCTTCCGCTACAAACGAAAGCAACAAGCTAAGCCACAGATTCAATGCTTCCTTTGCAGCCTGACAGCTTCGGGGTAGGAGGCAGCTTCGTGGTCTGGACTTAGTCTATGATCCGGCTCAGATCGCCCTACTGAGTTTAAACGTCGCAGCGGTTCACCGTGTTACCGTATGCTTGGCCTGCCAACCCTGACTTGTTACCGAAGCGGGATTCCGTTGTGCGCCTAGGTAAGTGAAGTTAAGGCTGCCTCGGAAACTCCGACACGCCCAAAACCCCGAAGCCCGAAAATCCTAAACCCTAAACCCGAAACCCTAAGCCCGAAAATCCTGAACTTTAAATCCTGGCTCGCTGCAACCCTAAACCCCGCTTTACCCTCCATCCTACGTGTCCATAACCTCAAGCAAAGGACCTACAGTAAAGGGACAGGTGACAGGTCTCGGAAAGGTTGCGCTTCCAGGCTTTCTGGGGTTGTAGGTTTAAAAAGTTCATGGCTTAGGGTTTTAGTTTTGAAAAGCTTAGGGTTCAGAGGTTTTTACGACCGCCATGCGCCACGATAATACTGCATTCTACAGGGCAAATCGTCGCGCAAAGAGCGTGGGCACTGCCGCCAAGCGAGCAGAGCAGTTTGGATGCTTTTGAAGATATGGCTTCAAAACACAACATCTACTCTGGGTTGGCCTTTAAACACCCTGAAAAATATTTATATATAGGGCCCCTTATAAACCCAAATAAGGAAAATAAAAAATGTCCCAAAATCCAACCTAGTCTTAATAGGGAGGAAGAGCCCGGCTGCGTTTTGACATCCTGTGCAAAGAGCTCAAGCGCTGTAGCCGAAACCACTCCTAGCCAGTCAAAGCATTTCACCAGCTCTGAGCAATGTTTGCACTGCTTGCCAAAGCGAAGCGGTTTATCACACTTTGAATCGGGGACACATGGAGTGTGTCCAACTGGAATGGAGCTAGCCAAATGTGAGGCATACGTCAGCGGATCCGCGTCCGTCATAAATGGGTGGTTGGTCGTCGACGACACGCATCGCTGGAGCGGTAAACTGAACATACCAAATATGATGTTGCACACAAAGGATACGTCATACACCGATCGGCGTTTTGGCTCTTCACTGGTTGCTCTTTTCTCAAGAAGCCGGCAGGACAAGGAGCTCCCATCTCTCGTTAGTGTAGCCGGCAACCTGTTCTTCAGTCACCGCCACCTCTTTGATGAACATCAGAAACTAAAACGCTGCTGCCAAAGCATGGAACCCTAAACCCTAAAACCCTAAACCCTAAACCCAAACCCCTAAACCCTAAACCCTAAACCCTAAACTCCTAAACCCTAAACCCTAAACCCCTAAACCCTAACCCCTAAACCCTAAACCCTAAACTCCTAAACCCTAAACCCTAAACCCCTAAACCCTAAACCCTGCAATCACCAAAGGATGGTTCTTCAATCCGGTGCCAGAGGCTTCGGGCACCAACCTCCGACAACCGACTTTGCCCTCGAACCCGCCGCAAACCCTACTTTCCAGAGGGATCTATAGGGTTCCTTAAAGGGATCTGCAAGGGTTCCTTAAAGGGATCTATGGGGTTCCTTAGAGGGATCTATGGAGTTTAGGGTTTATAGGGTCTACTTGGGAGGGGCAGGGAACTTAGTAAGTAGCTTATAAGTAGGGTTGTAATTGGGGTAACTCCATTTAGGGTACTCATAACTCTACTTATAACCTACTTACTAAGTCCACTGCCCTTCCAAGTAAACTCTAAACCCGTCTCTCTTCTTCAATAACCGGACCCAAACAAGTTCAGCCTTTCTAAGATAGGCCAAACTTATAAGGCCAAGAAGCTTAAAGTTCTCCGATCGGCTATCTACGCCCCGCGACCGCATCGTCTTACCAACCCCACGGCGGGGCTTGAGCGGGGTTTTGCAGTGTTAACATAGGGAACCTGAAGAGTACTGTTAGTCACTGGCCAGGCCTATATCCCTATGTATCTATATATATATATATATATATATATTTATTTATTTATTTATTTATTTACTTATATCCTACTAAAACGAAGCAGCCCAAAAACCTGACGAGTTGAAAGATACCTACTGAAGCCCTGCAACACCCTGGTAGCCTCTGCGGAACCCTGCAGAGGGCATGCGGGGTCGGCCCCGAACTTCGCTAGTCTAGGGTCCTACACCCCGCACCTAGAACCCTAAACCCTAAATCCAAAAAGCAATTAGACAGGTCTTTGGGCTTTGGGTTCAGGGTTAGCCACCTTTCACCCAGAAGGGTGTCCACCGCTGCACCTAAGGGCATTGAAAACATGAACCCCGCATTCCCCCACTGCCTCGCCGTACATCTCCAAGGGCAGCTCATGCTTCACCTAAGTGCTGCTACCCAGAGAGCCCAATACCCCCTAAATAAGGAATATGGCTCAAATTATATAGGGCTTCATAATATGATTTAAACAATATTCCTTAACTAAGGGGTATTGGGCCCTCTGGGTACCCTTCTCCTGAACGCCCCCCGAGACCCAGGGTACAGATAGTGTGTTTAATGATGCCCTGGGGTCAACTTTATGATAACACTGAAAGAGAAATGTGATTCCTAAAGACCACCCAGCCTCACACAAAGCCTCCCAAACCTTGATCTTACTGAAGAAATTATATGCCTTATAATAAAGTACAGCAAGGATCCCTCCACAATTTCAAGTGTACTCCCACAGTACGGGTTTATGGAGTTTGTCGGGAACTCAATCCATTCAAGTAGTCGCCTCCAAGAAATGGTATAACGTAGCCTTGAAAGAGGTCTTCGCGTGGCGAATGCCGACATAGGGTTTAGGGTAGAACCCATCTAGAGCCATAGAACCCGAAAAGAACACATGCACGGCCCGCATAGAACCCGCATGAAGGAACCCTGTTCTAGTTCTCAAGGCCCTTGTGCCCTACCCTAGACTTTGTCGTATCCCTTCCTTCTAGTTCTTCGGGCCCTAACTATACCAAACCCTTACAGTAACCCTTAAAAGTACCCTATTCTCAGTTCTTAGGGCCCCCAACTATACCAAATCCTTATAGTAATCCTCAAAAGGAAACCCTAAACCCTAGTTAAACTCTAAGCCCTAAAGCCCCAAACCCTAAACCCCTAAACCCCTAAACCCTTAAAATGACCCTCCCAACTCTGCCAGGGGCACCGTGTGCAGTTTGGTTCGATCCACGGGGGTGTCGAAACCATAGGGGTCTGCCAGACGCTGACGCCGCCTGCGACGGCTCTGGGTTTAGGGCTGAAGCCGTTTAAGGGTTTTAAGGGCTTAGGGTTTAGGGTTAAAGGATTTTAAGGACTTTTGGGGATTAGGGTTTAGGGTTGAAGGCTTTTAAGGGTGTCAAGGGCTTAGGCTTTAGGGTTAAAGGGTTTTAAGGGTTTGGGCTGCAGGGTTTAGGGGGTCAATAAAGGGTTTAGTGTTTGGGGTTCATGGTTCAGGGTTCAAGCATAAGGAGCTTAGGGTGAAAGGGTTTAGGGATTAGGATGAACTACAGTAAAGAGTTTAATTGTAGGGGTTTAGGGCTAAAGGCTTTAAGGGTCTATAGGGCCTAGGAATCATGTACGGGGAAGGCTTCGCCCCAGAGATGTGCACCCAGCAAGAACCCCCCCCGAAGCCTCCGCAGCCACAAGGCCCCAAGCAAGGCAGAGCCCCCCAGGAGGAGGCCCAGCTGAAGGGGCGCTTTCTCGGAGGCCATGGCCGAAGCGAGGGAGTTTCGGGATGGTTTGTTTCTGGGCCTCTATAAGGGCTACTATAAGGAAGGGCTTAGGGGTGCTACGGCGTTCGGGCTTCAGGGCTTTAGGGTTTCAGGTCTAGGGGTTTTGGGGCTAAACGGGTGCACGGTTTCCTTGGCTATTCTAAAAGTTTACACCATACTGAACTTAGAACCCTAGCAAAGAATCTAATTTTTGCTGTTTCTTAGGGACTATAATAACCAAAAATTAACATGTATTTCTAAGTACCCCGTAGGCATCACGGTTCAGCCGCACGAGACGCAGGAGTCGAGCTTGGCCCTTCGGTTTTGTATATCGTCGGGGTAGGTTGAAATTTGAATCCTAAGGTAGCCACAGTTCAAGGCCTAGGGCTTTTAGGGTTTCCGCAGAAGAGCTTAAGCTCAGGAGCCAACAGCTCTGACAGAGGTGGTTGGAAACTAAACCGGAGCTTGAAATCATGTGATCAGGCCCGAACCTGAACCCCAAACCCCAAGCCCTAAACCCCAAACCCCGCAGCCCTCAGCCCTCAAACACAAACGCTACAGCCTCAGCCCTTATCCGTAGCTTGACCCACTCTGGGTTTCAAGCCCTGGGTTGTGCATGATGGCTCTTTATGGGAATGAAGTGAGGTCTACCTTGCTCCTGTGGAACCAGCTTTCTGCACTTCCCAGGTCTGAAACCTTTAATTCTGCACTCGAAATCCTGAACCTCCAACCCTAGATTCCCCAGTAGCCCGCTAATAATTTGGATATACGTTTTTTCCTACCCCTTAGCTTTTGTTCAAGGAACCAAAGCAAGGGAAAAAAAGGGTACTGCTAGGGAGCCTATAGACCCGAAACCCTAAACCTGCTGCCCCTCGAAGAGTCAAGAAGACACGCGAAAACCATAAAACCACAGCGTAGGCTCCTCGGGGTTAACGTAGAGTTGAATCTCCTGGACCCTGACAACGAAGCCCCAACTCCAGCCTTAAATCCTTAAAGCAACTGTGAAAGGAAATCTTAAGGCCTTGAAGGAACCCTAAATCCTCAGAAATCCCACTGAGATGTCAGAGGCGGAGCGGGGGAAGGCACCAGGGAGCGTCGAGAGAGGCTCGGGATCACCTTCGTTCTTGTATCTACGGGCCCTTCTTTAAGGCTTGGGGTTTAGGGTCTCCTTCAAGGTGTTAAAGTCGAGCGTTGGGATGCGAGGGCTTTACTGGAGGCTTGGGATCACCTCCGGTTCTTGTTATTCGTAATGGATTAGTGTAACTTGTTTCCTAAAGGTTCCGTCGCTCAGCGTGCATGCACCACATCTGTTGCGCGTGACCCAATGCCAGTGTGTGCCACCAGGGACCGGTTGCAAGATTCGGCTAAGGCGCTTATCGGGGTTCTGTCGGGTTGGGAATTGTGCTAAAAAGCTGCTTTCATATGGTCTTACGATGTTTCATGTGGCTATATAGGGCTTCATCATAGTTTCAGGATGATGGTTCGATTCTTGAGGTTTTGAGTCCTGTGTCTAAGCGTAGAGCGGTTGGTGGGAGGTTCATATCAGTGAGGGTGAAGGAATTCAATAAAATTTCAGTTGTTGTAAAGGGGACGTAGGGTGGAACGTGCGGGGCGCAGGGCTCATTATTTGCAGGTTGCGGGCTTCTTCTGCCTGTGGGCCTGGTGTTGAGGGCTCGGGTCTGTGGATTGCCGTTGGGTCTTAAAGGCCTGTGGGACTGCGAGAGGGTCAAAACGGTCTAGGGTTCGAGATACATATAGCAAGGGTACAAACCCTAAACCCTAAACCCTAAACCACATGGACTTAATTTGGGCTTTTCCGTCAGAGCTGATGGGATTTAGGGGCTCTCGGAGTTGATCAGAAGCTAGTATGGGGTGAGGCATCCTGGCAACACATCATGTCACCCATGGGAGCTTCCGAATATATGGGACTCTAGTATAGTACCCTAAATAGTCGGATCCTTATTGTAACGGTTGATGGTATCAAACCTGCATTACTCATAATAAGGAATATACCCTAATTCCCATAGTTTCGGGTCCTTAAGATCATGCAGGATTTATATCATCAACCGAAGGACTCCAAACTCGTCCTCGATGCCTCCAGTCCAACTGCTTCTTTCTCGCCCCGAGGAACTCCTTGATCTTCCCCAAGATAAAGTACCCCCTAATTTTCGGAAACCCACATCTAGATAGAAGCCTGCATGATCTCCAATGTTATTCCTTAGGGCTTAGGGCTGCACCGTTCTCACCAAATTCGGCGGCATGGAGTTCTGCTACTAAGGATTGACTCTAACCCTAAACCCTAAACCTTAGCCCTAAACCCTAAACCCTGAACCAGAACTTCCATGGTTGAGGTTTGCGGGGGACGGTGGGCCCATGCTGGCCCTGAACCCAGAGATGGGACCTACAACCCCATAAAGTAAAAGCCAGAAAGTTAGAATATGATTATCCTAACCCTTCTATGGTAAATCATAGGGTATCCTACCCTGAAACCATATTCCAACTTTCTGGAGTTCCCTGTAAACCGTAAAGCCGAACAGCTCAACCCTAGGCAAAAAGAGAGCACACAGAAATGCGGGTTGAGAGCTTAGGGTAACGGTTTAGGGTTAGGGGTTATAGAGATTTTTGGTTTGGGGCAAGACCGCATTTTCATAGGCCTTCTGCAGGTCGGTCGGAGGCTGCACAAAACACCTCAGCTGGGGCACCGGGGTTGGGGGCTTAGGGTTTGGGTGGGTTTAGTATCTACTGCTTGGGGAATTTGGACTTCAGGGTTTACTTACTTACAAACGAAAGCTCGCTTCAAGGTTTCTCGGGCCATGTGAACTCATGCATTTTGAGGTTTATGGTATGTTTAGAGGTGTCTAGGATTCTGGTGCAGCCTGCAGCCAATATATTGTCGTGAACCACAAACAGAACCCTATGCAAAGCCTCTCGACACCCCCTTGAATCGGGACCTCCCCCCCTAAACCCTAAACCCCTAACCCTAAATCCAAAACCGAAAATCTGCACGCCAAAGCCGAAATCCCACCCTTGCCTGAGACTCTCCTCAGTCGGGTAAGCAAAACTTAAAATATAAAATAAGGATATCCTATGTAAATCCCCTTGTACTGGAGCCCAATCACGTAGAATCTCCGTAGACAATCTGAAGTTCTGGTGCAGCACACTCGAAATCGTCCCCCCTTCCAGCCCCCATATACAAGTATACTCTCCGATACCCCGAAACTCTGTTCGAATTATGAAGGCACCAGACCCTTCAAGGCAGGCCCGCATTTCCCACTATTCAGCCTTAGTAGGGAGCCCCTCATTAAAACGGATACTACTGATTTGCCTACCAAGTCTAATGTATCAGATCTCGATCTTAAAGATCAGAACAAGACCCCACAGAATGCACACAAAGCCCTACATACAAACCGCAATAACCCCCAACCCTAAACCCCCGAACCCCCCTCCCCAAACCCTAAATCCCCCTACGAAGCGCTGAAAGCTCCTTGTCGCCGGGGAACAGGAGGCCGGTGAGCAGCAGCACGGGCAGCAGCACGCCGCGTCGCGCCATGGCTTGCGATGAGTGGAAAAAGCAACAAAGATCAGCTCTGAAAGAGTCAGACCTTGACAACAAGATCTGGCTGATATTTCGCGAGCGTATGGGCTCGGGTTTCGCGTACATCTGCTAAAAACGGTTCGAAAGCTCTACTTGCATTAACTCAATGTGTATGCGGTTGACAGTATGTTGCGGTAGCACAGGACCACCGAACTGCGGAGCTTGGGACCATACTCAAATTCATGTTGTATCTCGTCTTGCTGTAGCCGAAGAGGGCACAGTGGCTAAATGCCAAACCGGGTGTCCTGCAACCTAGAACCTGCACCCCAAACTGGTTTAGGGCTTGGGGGCCTCAGGGCTTTGAGGGTCTCAGGGTTTTGGATGGTCGTGGTGTTTGGAGGTTAGGGCTTACTGCACGTGTTGAACAACGTGCTGAAATGAAATTCTCGCACCTGATACACAGGCACCTTTAATTCAAAAGCCTGAAACCGAAAGCTACGCACCGCGCAGACGAACGGAACACTGCTCGCCCTGGCCACCGAACCCGAACCTTCAAATCCTGAATGTGTAATCAACTGCTGACGCGCGAGCCCCAAGTTATACAGATGCAAACAAGTTGGATTCAAGGTTTCCCACTGCCTTAAACCTGCAAGCCATTCTGGCTGAAGGCTGCAATATGGCGGCTTGAAGCCTTCGAATAGGGTTTTGACTGGCAACATAAACAAGGAGAATATTGCTCATTACTCATTACTCAAACGCCGATTCTAAGAATTCATACCTCTGCATTATAGCCTGCAGCCGAGTCCTCAACATGGGGGGGGGCTTGAACTGTTGTGGAATAGCCTGGTCTCATAGTTCCCACATGACTACGGTTTAGTATTTAGGGTTAAGGGAACCCTGTGCTGAGACTTTGACCTAGCCAGGGAGACAGAATTTGAGGCTTTGTTTCATTTTATCATGGCTCCTTTGCGGAACAAGTCCTAAAACAAAGCAATCAAGCATGGTACTCCAGAACCCTTATAGAACCCTTGTAATCAAGTAGTATAGCCCTTATAGAACCCTTGTAAATAGTAGAGCCCTCATAGAACCCTTGTAATTAATATGGCCCTTATAGAACCCTATATAGTGTACCCTTATGGTACCCTTATGGCACCCTTATGGCACCCTTACAATACCCTTGTAGAACTCTTATAGAACCCAATATATGTACCGTTATAGTACCCTGGAGAAGTACGGTAGATCCTGGGGCGAGGCTCCTGCAGACGTGACGAGACCTTCGACCCTCCAACGCCAGGCCCGAAGCCCTCAGCCCCAACCACGCTGAACCCAAAACATCCCAGAGCCCTAAACCCGAAGCCCTAAACCCTACACCCTAAGCCCAAAACCCTAAACCCTACACCCTAAGCCCAAAACCCGAAGCCCTAAATAACCCGAAGCACAAAACCCGAAGCCCTAAACCCGAAGC